AATTCAATTCCGCAATACACTGAAATATCATTCCCGAAGAATGCAAGCAACGACACCGAACGTTTGTTGATCAAGAATCTACACAAGACAAATGATTCTCGACTTTTACCTCAATCGCAAAGTCCTTCACCATCGTTACAGATGAACTTCAAATCAATATCAAAGAGTTTACCTCCCAAACCACATTCAGATTCCATCGACAAGTTATGGACTCCTGTTCAAACTCTTGCTGAATTGAATGCATTTGAATGTGTTGCCTGGCGTCAAACTGCCAAATGCTCGCCTCGTGGAGATCAACAACCAAAGTTAGACGGTTCGTGTGATCGAATCATTCTACCTACTGATTCCGGATTTTGTGAGTATCGACATCAAACAACAGGTGAAATTCGTCGAATCGTTGCAGCAAAATGTAAATCTCGCGCTAGTCAAATGGGTTACTCGTGTCGAAATGCTACGATGCTTGTGCGTTATAATCTAATGGCAGACGACTATAAACCCAACTATCCTCTTTCGTTCGAGAATAATCAACGTGACTTTATTCAAGAGAATAGACTTGTTCAAGGGAATGCAAGTTCGACTTCTGTATCAAATGTCAAACCTCCTGCTTCATTTTCTCGTGGAATTGTTTATGTTGTGTACGAACAATTACTTCTTAGTGTTTATGCTGCAATTCGAGCTTTGCGCTCAACGGGTTGTACTCTTCCGATTGAGCTATGGTATCGCCAAGACGAAACGAATGCCTTCCATCCATTATTGCAAGAACTACAACTTCATTATGGAGCGTACTTGCGTGTCATTAAAGATGCTCGAGCAAAAAAGTTCTACACAAAGCTATATGCTGTTTTTTATACTGCGTTTGATCATGTACTTCTCTTAGATGCTGATAATTTCGCTGCTCAAGATCCAACTCATTTGTTTACGACGGAAGTGTATAATAACACTGGAGCAATCTTTTGGCCAGATTACTGGATGCCGAATCGAACAATTTTCAAAACAAAGAAAAATAGCGACGTGTGGGAATTTATGGGCGTTCCATTTGTCGACATGTTTGAACAGGAAAGTGGTCAAGTTCTAGTGAATAGAGTCAAACATACGAAAGCATTGCACACTTTATTGCATTATGGACTTACTGAACCTCATTTTCCAGCCAAGTTTAATATGCTATGGGGAGATAAAGATCTTTTTCGTTTTGCATGGATGCGTACAAATTCGAGCTTTCATATGATCAAAAGACCACCAGGAAGTCTTGGGTTAAAAGCTTCTCATTTGAATATTTTCTGTGGTAATACCATGGTGCAGCATAATCCTGATGGTGATATTGTGTTTCTTCATCGGAACATTGTCAAGTTTCTGCCTAATAAAGACAATAGACAGAAACTATGGGAATATGTACAACAATATCATATGAACCAAGATCTGCGATATTATGAAGTGCGAGGAGACGTCGATCATCGCTGGTTTCCAACTATTCGTAAATGTTATGGACGACGCATAAATTATCTGCGAGCAAATTCGCTTAAACCTATTCAAGACTTTCCATTTGCAGGCCTTGAGAACGACATTATTCACTATGTTCTTCAAGGCGAGAAATTGATCAAACAGCATGGATTGAGAACTATGCAAACAAAAAATTCAGCTAAGAATCCGATATTGAAATGAAATAGTAGCATTTCATTCATTTTTCATGTGATAAGATTCTTGTGTATTGTCTAATATAATAAATTCGATCTAGAATTCTTGCTTCAGGTCAGTCGTGTGTGGTGATAGTCCGATGATCTCTGAATATTTGTGGTATGGATGACATTCAATATATTTCTGAATGAAAAAGCCCAAAACAAGTGCAATCACATTCAGCGTAAAGCTTGTCCAAGACTTGATTAACTCGTTGATCATGATGAAAACGCCCAATGTAAATGGTAGTATCATAGCCAGTAACAAAGAACGATCCGATAGGTTCACACGGTATGGTCGTTCAATTTCAGGGTGCGAAAAGCGCATACGAACAGCAGCACTCATTTCTACCAGAGACGATAAAGCTGACAAAAAGTTGTCGATTCCTAAAATCGTGTCAAAGTCAAACATGCCCATAAAGATGATGATGAAAAATGCCAACAAAATGGCTCGGCGCGGCACACCAGTATCGGGATGGCGTCTGAAACAACAAGTGTACGAAGAAATGTTAGTTGACAATAAATTAAAGGACAAGGTATCTAAAATCATTGCATACTGAGCAAAGTAAGGGGGTGCTAAGCCCGAATCTGCCATCCCAGCCAATTGAAAACCGTCCTTAGCCATCTCCGCAACGTACAATCCAAGATTTCCAAAGATGGAGGAAATTAATACCCAGACACAAAGCCACGTGCCACCAATTTGCTGTGCAATAACTGAGTACGATCCGTCATCCCATGTTGTGTAGTGTGGCATGTCAGCCCCTGCAATGGCAATGAATGGAACAATATACCTAAGAAAATCACCATTAGTTTCTAGACTAGCAATTTCTTGAAATCTTAAAGATTTACTGACGTGAATGCAATCATGAAAACTGTGAGTATCATAGCTTTCGGATATGTTGTTTTTGGTGACTTGATCTCTCCAGCATATGCTCCAGCTGCGTCAAAACCACTGTAATTCCAATATAAAGCACTTAAAAGACGACCCCAATCACGCTATCATTAATAAGAACAATCATCCAGATATTAGTATCTACACAAACATTCACAACATTCATATCCTACATCTTTTCGAATGACAAACCAATTCATTGGTTTAATAAATGGTATCGCATTTATAATGAGTACAGCAAAAGGCATGAAGATCATAATTCCCAAGACTAGAAGTGTGTGGCCCACTACTTTGACACTTTTTAATGTCGGCAGCATAAAGAGCACAGCAAACACTGCGCGCAAACCAAAGACCTTCCATGCAACTCCATTTTCATCATTTAAAGCGTCTTTGTCTCCCATTGTTAATGCCAATAAGGTATCCACAATCAGACATGGATAAATTGCATTATCAATCACTAGCAGATATAACACTTGAGATAACTAACGAGCTCATAAACATGATCGTCACAACGTACCCCCTGCGACCCAGCTCCAATAACCTACTTGAAAACCCATGGGACGACCAAATGCCACACCCACCCACATACAAAAACTACCATCGGTTGGAAATGCCGTAAAGAGTTCAGCAAATGTGAGTGCAAGTGGTAAACACCAGATCCATGGAAAGAGCAGGACAGACACGATGCCGACAAATGGACCACAAGCTGCAAGTACAGGCTCACTACCCCATGGACCACCACTGACGTTGAAATATGTAATAAGTGCGACAGAAAGAATTCCTAACTCACGGTGTGAGTGAGATCCTGGCATGATCACAAGAGATGCGTCAGCAGCAGTACATTGTTCGACAAACGTATTATGCGACGGCGAAATGTGGACCACAGGTAGATTCAATCTATGTACTGCAATAACTAATTTTTTTATAGAATTCGACATTTTCGAGATAAGCGTTTTGTCATCTCTAGTGATCGGTATCCTGTTCATCACGACAAGAAGATTTATACGATCTTTTTGTTGATATAGCTGTCGTGTGCATATTAGCTGTTGTGTGTAATATTCGAGATTGGAATCTTATCAGTAGATAACTGGTTGCAATTGATTCATTAGACTAGCAAACTTGTTTTTCTAGCTTAAAAGCTTCATATCTCCATAGTGCACGGCAACCCGCACACTTAGTAGCGTTACTAGTCGATTTCACGACCACTTCATGAAAAGACTGTATTATCTGCGAGAATGGAACATGAATCGCTCAAATACATGTCTCCGTGGCAAAGAGACCAACTATACAAGCGTATATTTATCTTTATTCGGTCACACGAACCGTCCAACTTTAGTTGTTAATCTCCACGAGGCGAGCATTTGGCAGTTTGACGCCATGCAACACATTCAAATGCATTCAATTCAGCAAGAGTTTGAACAGGAGTCCATAACTTGTCGATGGAATCTGAATGTGATTTGGGAGGTAAACTCTTTGATATTGATTTGAAGTTCACCTGTAACGATGGTGAAAGACTTTGCGACTGAGGTAAAAGTCGAGAATCATTTGTCTGTGTAAATTCTTTATCAACAAACGTTCGGTATTGTTGTTTGGATTCTTTGGGAATGATATTTCAGTGTATCAAGCATCGCATGAGTAGGTGATGCTTCAGAGCCGACGGCTTGTGCTGATTTCTTAGCGAAAAGCTGTTTCTGGACATTGTGAAACTCGCTACTACTTAGACCTTCATCTTCGTACGACAAAGAGAGACTTTGTTGACTATACCAACCACAGAAAGCGGAAAAAGCAAGAAGTACTACAACTTTGATCCATGCGGCAATTGGAGACTGTGGTATTACATCTTAGGATTACAAATATGATGATAGCTGAATGTATTGTACAATGCAATCTCGTCTATATGTCGAGAAATTTATCGTTCTATCAATTGATTCACAATCGGAAGAATCAGTAGCAAGTTATCAAGAAAAATTCTTTGAGCTTAAGGTAATTGATATAATGCATCAAAGTGTAATGAGCGTGACCTTCGTATTATGTTTTCAGAAATTTACGAGTTCAAATAGCACAAGATGTTGTTTTCGCTTGTTTTAATAACTAGATGAATACCACTTTCGACAATGACATACCGAACGTGTAAGGAATAAACTCCTGAGATCACAATACTCATCTTTACAGAAATAAATGAAATCTATAACCCTCATCCCTCCAAAGCTAGCTGAATGAATGGTATACTGCATTCACGTGGGGTGCAGGAACGAACTCTGCCTCTTCCTTATATATTATAGAGCTCTATAGTCATGTGGATATCACACATTGTGAATCAATTTCTGAACAGTGCTGACAGAATAGCGAGTCATGTTTAAGGCTTGTGCAACCATAGATTAATTGTCAATGATATCTTCTCGAAAACAAATTATGAAGGACGTGTACTTTGATGTAACACAGATTGAAATCAACTGTGCACTCACTGCTCATAAAGCGGACGACGTGAGATTTACTCAAAAGGTAATGATATAGCATCTTTTATTCAGATATTACATTTAACCTTTTAATGCTCCATCACTTCAGCCTCCGTATCCTTGGTATCGACGAAGCCAACTTTGTTTTAGCTGTGTCGTGGTCAAAGTTGAGCCAAGTTTAGACATTGGATCGTGGACATGTGTATGCATAAATACAGGCATATCGCGCTTGAAATCTTTCTAATCCAATAAAAACGCGAAAGCTATTGCCCCCTGAGATCTTGATTTGAGTGCAACCTGAACGCTAGGACTTACCAAGCTCGACTTTGAATCTGCTGTAAAGCTGACTCCTGTTTTGATCAAAATCACGCAGAGACGACAATGCCAAAGCATGTTATTTTTGTCTATCAATGCGAAAACAATGATAAGACAGATTTGATACGATTGAAAGATTCTACTCAGTTAAATTAGCGAATTGAATACGAGGATTAGGCAAACAGATAAATTCTTCTAATTGAAGCTGACAATCAAAAAACATTTAATCAATGATAACCCAATTAATACTTCGTAGTGACACAAATTGGACCCAAATATGCACTTACCGCTCACAAGCGGGCGACGCTAGATTAGCTCAAAACGGCATCTCTGGCTGCATTTCACCCTCTAAAGCTGATCCTCCAATTTTTCGGGTTCTCTGAATCTGACTATTTTTCTATCTGTCGTGGTCGGAGGAGCTGAGCTTTTCAACGCCGATCTTGCCGGAATAGACCTAACTACAGGTGCTAAATCAAATGATTCAATCTTTTCCTTTTTTAAAGGGCTTAAAACAATTTGTAAGCCACTTCAAATTCGCGCTGAGCAACCTCGTTATCTTGTAATCGTCTTTGTTTTGGGTGTTGGCACGAGCAAGCTGAACGCTTGGACTTCTCAAGCTCAAGCTCGGATCCGCTGTCGAGATGACTCCATTATTCATCAGAATCAATACAGCAAGCGCTGCGGAGAGACGACTATGCCAACGCATGTTGTTTTGTCGACTAATTCGAAAATGAAGGGGATCAATAATTAGATGCGTTGAAAAATTTGCAGATCATTTTTTCAAAGAAAGCCAGAACAACACAAGTCTAATAAATCTCTGTCACAGGTCAAAGAGTGGATGCTAAGATGTGTAATTCTTTGAGACTGCCATACATGAGTCTGATCTTCATCAAAACGGTCACAAGGAGAAAAGAAAAAATACATTGGTTTTAATACGATATGAAACTTGTTTTTTACATCAACAAAAGCTCAAAGAAGCTGTTGTACAGCATTATAAGAAAAATTCTGGATGAACGCGCCTATTTCTTGACAAGCGGCATTTATAAAGCATATTGTAGCTAGCACAGAATAGAACTCTTATTAGAACTCTTACGTTTCTTCTACAAGCAATGTCTCATTCTTCAACTCTTTGACTTTTTCTTACTAAAAAGAATAGACACACGGAGCTTAGCAAACGCAAAATTTGGTGGTGTACGCTACATTGAGGGTTAGCAAATGTAGTAGCATGCCTCATAACATCTCTTTAAAAGGTGATTATCGTGGCTAAAAGCGTGTTTGAATGTGCCAGCTTACGGAATTTGTGGTTGAAACAAATCCCTCAACAGATTTTCGTCGGAATTCTGAATAATTACAATGACTGATAGTCTATAGAGCAAGAGATCGCTCCAGGCGACAGAGTAACGATGGCACCTATTGTGCCTACTGCACCGGGTGCTTTTACTACAACTCCGGTTGATACTGCAAATTTGTCGGGCGGAATCGTAGCATTCGCAGCAACGGTCGCCAGCTATAGTCTACTACGAGAACAGGATATTTGTCACGTTGTCACTTCCAGTGTCGAAGCAGCAGGTCGGTGCAATATAAAAAGCTCCACTTAAGAAAAAGCATCGCAAAGACATAGCTTCCTGTGACGACTGCACCGTCTTGTACGACTTGATGGTCCGGACACAGCAGACTTTGAGTATTGATTCGCTAGCAAAAGTAACCACGGTCTAGAAAAATTCTGTGCCAGCACTTGCACATCGTATTTGTTCCCGAAACTAGTCCCAAAAGAAGTACCTCCCTGACCGAGGATGGCGTTGTGGTGTCGATTGGGGTGTGCTAGCACAAGGGTAACCATGATACGAAATCACGGGGACTAACCACTTTTCACATAGCTCGCCTGGGACCAAGTAGGTGCAACAGTGAGCGTATTGGGTTTGTCTAGATACGTTTCTGTTGGTACAAGTGAGGAGGGTGTCGAAGCCTGGGGGTGTACCCAAACCACCACGATTTTTTGCAAATACCCGGACGTAGTGAAGCATATGTGGTCTGAGTCCTGTTAAAGTGTACAATCGCTGTGTTGGGTCATTTATTATGGCTGTCGTGTCAATTGTCAAGGAAAGCGAGTCAAAGCCAGCTGTAATATTCTAAAAGCCGTGATTGCAACGAGCTTAGCTTCTCTAAGCAAAGAGCTATGGCAGCCCCGCTGCACTTGATAGCACTCGTAGTCAAGCTAACCTTGGTTCGTTATGACTGATCCTCTGTGAGGATGGCTATTTTCCTCAGAGCATGAGGGACGGGCTTTATGAGCAATATCCCTGCTGGTCCCTGAGGCCTTATAGACCTCGTTGCGCAAGGGCCCGAGCCCATGAGCGTGCGGGTAGAGGCGTTTTTAAGTTATGAAAATGCTCTGTGAGAGAACTTACAACAAAAGCTATCAGCGTCGACGATAATTTTCTCCGACCCAGGCCGCTCTTGCAATTGTTCTCAGCACCTAATCAGGCATATCGCGTTAGATCGCGTATCCTTACTGCCCGACAGGGAAAGAAGAAAATGCTGGACTATATCCACGAGTTGAGACTCTTATTGCTGGGATGGAAGCAGATTCTCTCCTCGAGGCGGTCGCAGTGACCGTCTTTATTGAGGGTCGCCGCACTGGCGTGGTCAGAATGAAAGTATTCCGTGTGCATCCGACTTCATTTGAAGAAGCGATGAAGGTGGTATTGAAAACCGAATTTAACTTGAGCGTCATGCTAAAGAAGCATATCGCTGTGCGGACGCTCTTGAAGATTTGAAGCACGTTGTGCGCTGGCTGCCTCACCTTGAGGACTACCGCGCTCTATCGGAGCGAATCCTATCCGTGGAGCACGCGAATGCGTCACTGCATGCGACGGTGGAGTGCTTGGCGCCATTGGAAATGGAGGTTAATGTACTCCATGCTCAGAACCAGTTGCTGTTTAACTTCTGGGTGGCCGCGGGCACGTGGTATCCGCTCCTGCGCCAACGCTTCCGTTTTCTTTTGCGCCAGATCCCGGTACGGCTTGAGCAAGCCCACGTCAAACACCGGGTGGGTGCGCATCCGTTT